GGTAAATTAACATTTAACTGAAGTGAACATAAACGATCAGAAAAGAATAACATCCCCTAAAATTCGGTGATTATCTGGAAGGCCGTCCCTCGATAACCCCAAAAGCAGTTGGTCCCCGACGTCCTACGCCAATAATGAAATGCAACACGTAGTATTTGCCCATTTCTCTGCTGCGGTTTCAAGAACATTAGGCACGACCCCTGCATCATTCCACTACTCCATCAAGCCTTCTGAACGTCGGCAATGCATCTTCTATTCGGATATTATGTCTCCTTTCACTAGGAGAGAAGTTCTGAGGCACTAAATCGGTGGCCTCGGAAAGCCACACTGACCTTAAAGGCCGGCTGTCCGCATCGTCTTTTCTGATAAATGAAACTTAATGGGACGAGAGAAGACCATGAAACAAGAGTAGGGGAATTTGTGACAACCTTCAACCTTTCGCAGCCAGGCCCATCTTGTAGCCGGCAGGGCACCTGCTAACAGTTGGAGCGCCACAACTTTTGGCCGTGAGTCATCCGAAAAGCTCATTAGTGAGCTGCCTATGGTGCTTAAAAGGGGATATAAAGTAAATAAAAACTCAATAGCTGTGTAGAACCCTGGTATATATATCTCACTAAGCAGAATCGAATAAGAAAGTAATAGGAAGAAATGAAAACAAAACATAATTTGTAAGAAATATTTCGAATACTATCTTTTGTTATATGACTCAACTTCTGGACCATTCCTCCCCACTCTTGATGACCAGGATATTTCCCCTTCGGCCCAAAATGAAACTCTAGTTTCAGTGAAAATGCTAACAGGGATAAGTGAAGTAAGAGTCATATGTATCGGCTGATAACTACCCTAGCTGACCTGTTGGTGTGTTTGTAGCACCAACCATGTTGTGATGGTGACAGCAAGGGTTTGATCAAGGGCCCAAAAGAGGAGGTTCACCAAAATCAGGGTAAAAAAGTAGTCTTCAAGGGCTAAAAATGTTTTTACTTTCAAGAGTCATATTAAACATCAATTAACAATACTTCTTAAAACCTTTTCTTGGTGAGAGCAAGCAAGCGATTCGAAATGTAAAGGTATAGGATTGTCTATATAAAGGCGAAAAAAGTTTGGATCGAAGAAGTTAACAAACCTGGAGAGGCGCTGTGGCTTTTTCACAGACTTCATCCGCCTTCAACGTAGTCGTGCGCAAAGGTGGTGCTGGAGGAGCGGCCTTCCTGCGGCCCAGAGACCCAGCACCAGCCACTTCTGCTCCGACCACCACAGTATCCGCATCAATGCGTTGGAGAGGGGGTGGTGGTGGGAGCAGAGAAGATGGAAAGACCTCAGAAAATCGGTTACCCGGAACCATACAGCTCTGCTGGAGGCAGGGATACGCGGGGAACTGTTGCTGCTGTTGATGGAGGGCGCTACCACTGCCACCACCACTACCACTAGTAACTAGTCGTGAAACCACGTTTTTGATTGCGAAGGGCTCCGCATGACCACATCTGCCCAATTCAGCCATCGAGGATACTAAAAAAAACGGAATTCGAACATAGTCGCCCAACTAGAGCGGGAATGCGTAATTCACATGTATAACAACCAGAAGCAGTGGAAGATGAAGTCTTGACCATTAGTCAGCCACTGATTGCATTTATCATTGACATGTATCTACCTATCTAATGTCCTGTCTGGCTCTCCCTTGTCATCGACGAGTTCGTTAAATGAGCCTTTAACTACGTGTTCGTGTTCACCAATTTAAGAAGGGATGCTAATGGCACAGTAATGATCCTAGTTGAAGTTAGCTGCTTGACAAAGAAACATCAAAAACACCTTTCACTGATTTTAAGAAGTAGTAAGGCGTTTGCAAGAATTAGGAGAATAATCACACTTTGAGTAAGTTCAGGAGAATCATGAAACAAAGTGTCTACCTAAGTGAGAACATAGAATGGTTAATTAGTCTCGAGTTTCTGCACAATTGATATGCAAATTCTGCCCAAATATCGCCCCTTCGTCATACCAGGAGCCATTTCTGCTGCAATTATACCATCACGTGAGGCCAAAAAAAGCAAAGATCGCCGCGAAATTCAGAATGAAATGGGCAAAGAGACACAAATAGTGTAGGCAGACATTAGCGATTTAGCCTACCCAATAACATTATTATTGGTAAATTTATTTCTACCAATGCAACTAAACGCACAGTTTAATCCAACAAAGATCCACTTGACTTTCGATGCATGGATGATATCATTTGCCACTGAACTTGTGGTCTGAAGAAACTGG